TGTTTGCGCCCTCCACCACGGCGATGACGCCGTTCCGGATCAAGTTCTTTGCGTCCTCAAGCTCCAGCTCGTTCTGCGTCGCGCACGGCAGCGCAATATCCGCCTTCAGGTGCCACGGCCGCTTCCCTGCGTGGTACTCTGCGCCCACCTGTTTCGCATGCCCCTCCACGGTGCCGTGCCTCGCGCCCTTGATGCCCACCAGGGCCCTCAGCTTCTCCGGAGTGAAGCCCGCCGCGTCGTGCGCGCAACCGCGCGAGTCCGAGACGCTGATCACCTTCGCCCCCAGCTGGAGGCACTTCGCGATGGCGTACTGCGCCACATTGCCGGCCCCCGACACGAGCACTGTCTTCCCCTGCAGCTCCTGCTGATGCCGCTTCAGGACGGCCTCCAGGAAGTAGGCAACGCCGTAGCCCGTCGCCTCGGGGCGCATCAGGCTCCCTTGGAACGCAACGCCATTCCCCGTGAAGGTGCAGGCCTTGCAGTTCGTCAGCTTCTGCGTCATGCCCGCCATGTAGCCCACCTCGCGGCCGCCGACGCCGATGTCGCCGGCGGGAACGTCCGTGTCGGCGCCAATGCGGCGGAACAGCTCCGTCGCCAGGGCCTGGCAAAACCGCATCACCTCACGCTCGCTCTTCCCCTTGGGGTCGAAGTCCGAGCCGCCCTTGCCGCCGCCCATGGGGAGCGTCGTCAGGGCGTTTTTGAAGGTCTGCTCGAAGCCCAGGAACTTGAGCATCGACAGGTTCACGGAGGGGTGGAACCGCACGCCGCCCTTGTAGGGGCCGATGCAGGAGTTGAACTGCACGCGCCACGCCCGGTTCACCCGCACCTCGCCCTTGTCGTCCACCCACGAGACGCGGAACTGGACGACACGCTCGGGCCCCACCAGGCGCTCCAGCAGCGCGTCCTCGCAGTACTCCGGATGCCGCTCCAGGAAGGGCCAGAGCGACGTCATGACCTCGCGGACCGCCTGCACGAACTCGGGCTGGTGCACATCGCGCCGCTTCACGCTCGCGGTGATGAAGTCGCCCACTTAGGCGTGCCGCAGTGGTGGTGTGATTGGCTGGTGTTGCTGCTGATTCTGCTCTTCCTTTCGCCTTAGCCCTATTCGCGGTGCAGGGAAAGTCAAGGCAAACGAAAAAAGGAAGAAAAAAGGCGCACAGAAGCAGGTAGAATTGCCGCAAGGAGGGGGGTGAAAATAAAAAAAAGCGCGGCCAGTAAAGAGTGCCAGCCCCACTCGGAGAGGCAGTTGGTCCGCCGCAGTGCGGCCGGACGGTGCCCCGCGCCGCAACGCCCAGCAATGCGTCACTATCCATTCCGACAGTCCAGCACAATCGTTACTGGGCCATCGTTCACCAGGTTGACACGCATGTGTGCCTGAAACCGCCTTGTTGCAACCCGGTCCTCCGCGTACCCCCTCGCGAGGACGTCACGCAGGCGCTGGAACGTCTCCGACGCCCCCCGCTCGGGGCCCATCGCCGGACAAAAGTCCGGTTTGTTGCCCTGCGGCACGTGCACGCGGGTGAAGTGCGAGGTGAGCGGGATGCCGCCGCCCACCTGCCCAACGCAGCCGAAAACAAACAAAAAAAAAGGACGAAAAAAAGGCGGCACGCATCTTCAACTGCAGAACGCCGTGGCTGGAAGCACCGCAGGTGCGCACACACACACGCACACCCGACGCCCACTTCCCCACAGCAGCCGCGCAGGGGCTGCCGAAGCACGCCCCGTGAGAATCAGTTCACAAGTAAAGGCAAAAAAAAAAAACGTTTTCATTTGTCCAGCCCTCACTGCTAAGGACACACGTAAAACAAAGCGGCCATCAGGGCCCTACCGCCCCGCCGTGCCGCAGCCGCGCAGTGACCACAAATGTCAAGCGCACCGAAAATAAAATTGAAAAACAAAAATAAAAAAACTCGCAAAAAAAAAACAAAGAAAAAAGCCAAAGAAACATTAAAACAGTCAAACAGAAAAAAAAAAACCTTAGCAGCCAATCCACACGCACAGAAAACATCGAAGGTAAATTGCTAAAAAGAAAGGAAAACAAATGTTAGGCAAAAGCAAACCAATCCATTCACTCCGCCTCATAACGCCTCCGGCGGACAAACCGGCTGTAGCGGATGTGCACAAGAAACGCGAGGACAGCCCCCAGAGCTTCCACACACGTGGCGACGATGAGCGGCAGGCGCACGCACTCCGCCACGTTGCACTCCTCCTCTGGGCCAAACCCCAAGCTGGCGTGCTTCGCGTCCACCACGTAGCCGAAGAGAAAGCGGTTGAATCCGATGACGGAAAACACGGTGGTCAGAAAGCCAATATTGTAGTACACGGCGTGGTCGTTCGCAAAGAGCGACGGGAAGACGACGGCACCAACAGCAGCAAACACGCCTTCTTCAAAGTACACGATGATGTACGGGAGCAGGATGGCCTCACCCGGGATCGTTAGGAGCAAGACGCCGGCAACGGCAGCAAGGAACGGTGAGAGGGGCAACGCGAACGTCACCAGGAACCGGCGGTTGTCGGGGGGCTGATGCTGCACAAAGGCCTCGAACATTCCCATGGCTATCCGCCCAATGCTGCTGGACACGCCGAGAAACGCGGTGTACAGGGCGGAGGTCTGCTGGCTCCGCTTGTGCCCAGTCAACGCCACGGAGATGGTGCTTGCGTTGTAAACCACAATAGTACCCGTGGCGCTCTGGCAGATGAACGCGATGAATATCAGCCAAATGTCCGGCCGCTTCAGGTTGTCCCAAAAAGAGCCGCCGTAGCGGGGATCCTGCGGG